GCCACCATGGTCCACCTGCTCCGACTATTGAGCCGACGGCTATCTTAGCCGATGCATTGTTCAACATTTGATATAGATAGCCGAGAAGGATTTTGCCCAAGGGGAATTGTTTCTTTGAATCTAAGGCTTCGGCTACAAATTGCCAGTTGGTTGTAGGGCCACATGAGCAAGAAAGCTACATGCTCTCGAGGGGTAACAGATCCTTGACCCATATATGCCGCCACATAGCCAGACCAGCCACCTATGCTTTTGGTCTTGAAGTCAAATTGGTTCTTGGTGTTCATACTCATAGGATTAGCCGATGAAATTACATCTAATCTAGTAATCATGATGATGTCGATCAAAGTTGAAGTTATCGGCCCTTGGTTGAATAAGAAGGCATTGATGGTGTTGGACCAGAAGTAGGTGGCGGCAGCCATCAGAGGTTCATCCTTAGCAGAATTGGCTATGGTGAGAGCAAGCGCTTGGTCGATCCCAATCTCATCCCAGTGATCTTTCTTACTAGCTGATATGCGTTGGTACCAGGTGGTCCAGCTCTTATCAGGGGTAGGCTTTTCGAGAGATGGCCAAGACTTGAAGGTATTCTTCCAGTGACCCAGGTTAGGGTTGGCTTGTCTAAAGGGGATTCTGTTGGTTTCACCAATGATGAAATCAGTGGGGTCAAGATTGTCGATTGGGCCAAGAAAATAGTGGTTCTTGTGCGATAGGCTGGGAATCGCGACTAGGTTGGAAAGGTGCTGCAAATCCAAAGGAATCGGGAAGCAGAAAACATGATGAGAAAAGGAGAAATCAATTTCATGCCAGGAAAAGGGATCTAGCTGGTGAGAACTTACCTCAGCGTACTCGGCCGATGGCGCAGTAGACAGGCTGGTGGAAAACGACATTGCCGCAGGCGGAGATCTGATCAGAAATGAAATCGCCTGGGGATCATCTTGTGCGTCGGGGAAATCGCCGGAGAGAGAGAGGACAAAGTTTTGCATGAGCGGTGAAAACAGAAGTCACGGCGTGAGATTTCTCGAGAGCAACGGTTAGTATTTAAAGCGATAGAATAACGGTCGAAAAACGGCGGAGTGCGAAACTTGCTCGGAGTCAGTACACGGCAAATCCGGAACATTATCAAATATCCCAGACTTGGGGGGCATGTGTTAACGACCAAATTTGGTAATATCAGCATCGGAAGTGAAGATGAGATCGAAGCGGAATCAGAGATAAGGATTTCTGCGGAACAGAGTAAGAATCGGCTGGAGTCCGGATCGGCTACAACCAGAATCGGCTAAATCCGAATCAGATTGGGTTAGGTGATAGAGCCGATTCCGATAATACGACTTGGTGTACAACATCGGGTTGAGAGTATATGCTTCAAGATGATTGCCGCACGTGGATAGAGTCCTGAGAGGGCAATTTATTAATTAGGATATTTTATGTAATTTCCTTAGAGATATGTTTAGGGCAAAAGTCTGCCGCAAAGACTTATGGTATTTTAGAGTTTATTAGAGATAATAGTCGTGTCCGGTATAGACATATCTTGTAACTCTCGGGTATAAATAGACCCCGGGTCCCATGTAATTTTTAACACACACACATGTTCAATACAATTTCAGCGCATCACCACCTTTTTGCTTTATTTCGACGAGTTCTTGCTTTCGGGTTGAGCTGCATCGGTTTCGATCTTCAACAAGAGGTAAAACTTGTTATGATGGATTGTGTTCTCGGGATTAGTGCTTCCATCTTTACGACAGTCTAATCTTGTTTATGTAATTCGTCAAGTTATCATATATCTTACATAATCTTCGACAATATCGTCATCTAACCTACAATCGGCTAACATCTGTCGACAGAAGGCAGCCGATTAGGTTAAATAGCGACGTTGATCTAGATTATATAAGATATCTACCACTTTATGAAACATCCAGCGGCTTGATTGTCTAGATATTGTTCTTCTTTTCATACTTAATGCTGCATTAGTTAAGTTTGATCTACTAAGTCGTGCTTAGAATTTCAATCTCTAGCCTACCTTTTGGTTGCCGATTAGGGTAGTATCGGAGTTTCAGCCGATCTTATCTGATTTAACCATATTTGATCTATATGCTTCAGTGACATGTTAAATCTGCCCTATATGTCAAGATCTTATTGCATTTAAGTATATTAAGCTTTTGTTTGGTATATTATACTTGTTTTGATATTATAGAATAGTATCGGAGTATTAGCCGATACATGATAGATCAATCTGATCGGCTATGCTATAAACATATATAATCCTGTTATTAATATATATTTCGATCTAAGTGATTTATACTGTCTCGGCATGGTGACCGATCTATCCCAATCACTTGATTTAAGTATATATTAATATAAGAAGTATATATCATTAATATCTACAGCCGATCGAATAGATTTAGTTCCTTATTGTCTATTTATAACCGCCGATCGATTCATATATGACATCGGCTCAAAGATAAATGATATGTCATCGGCACCTAGCCGATCGGCTATCATTTATAGATTTAACCACGAATTCTTTGTCTCTATTTCTTGTTGATTACAGGATCAAATCAACTAGCACGCTCATACATTCGAAGGCGAGCTTTGGACCTGCACTGGAGTTAAGCAGATCTCCTAGGCCTCGTGTTTTCTGTCAATAGCAGTAACTAGTAGTAAGTAGGACCTTCGAACGGCTCTGGTGCCCTCAGCCTTGCAAACTATTGACATCGTCTGGGTAAAGCTGGACAGTCTCTACAGAGGTGAATTAAATCATTCGAATGTGCCGTACTCCCGGTTCTGGAGTTATGTCATCAGGGTGATTCCTACTCCTGAAGTATAAGTAGTTTTAAAATTAAAATGTTAAGGATAAAGATGATTTATGGTTTTTATCATCATTGTTTATCTATTCATATCTATTTACATTTAATTATTTATAATATGTCTTGCTGAGTACATAAGTACTCACCCTTGCATAATTTGACATATAGAGGATTTGTGCTAACAAGAAGACTGGAAGGAAACGAGATCTACGACAACGACAAGTTTTTCTTCTAGGCTAGTCTACGCTCGAGCTTTTGCCTGTGGAGTTCTTTGAAGTACTTTGGAATTTATTAATTGTAGTTCTAGTAGTTGAAGAGTTTAGGAGTTTAGTACTTTGGATTTTCTTGTTTTTCAAATAAGGATATATTAGTTTGGATCTTTTCACCCTTTAACAGTTGTATAATTAGCTTGTATGAACAAACCTGTGTAAATAATCGAAAGCTGTTCTGTATATCAATCTGTGCGTGATCGAAATCCTGGACGATCACGAGTGGATTTTCAGGACACCAAGCCTAAATTGAGTGTCCCCACAATTCGGCAGCGTGGCAATGCGCAAGATCCAAGGCCGCAACAAGAAGCAGCTGTCGAAGCACTTCGCGAAGCTGTTCAAGAACAAGCACCCCCGGCTGAACAGCGCCAAGATGTGCAGCACAGAGTAATCCAAGTGATTACAAGGGCCGACTCGCTGAATCAACTGTCAAAACGGCAAAAGAAGATGCAGCTGCGAATGGTGCACAACATCACTTCGGCAGGCGAAGGGGCCCGCGATACTTGAACCAGCAGATCTCTTTCGAGGCAGAAGATGCCAAAGGAGTATTGTTCCCGCATCAAGACCCCTTGGTGATCTCGGCCGAGGTAGCTGGCTTCGAAGTCCGGCGAATCCTAATCGATGGAGGAAGTTTGGCCGATGTCATTTTTGCCGAAGCATATGCCAAGATGGGGTTGCCAACCCTAGCCCTCACCCAAGCACCGGTCTCGCTTCGTAGTTTTGGCGGAGAAGCAGTTCAAGTCCTAGGCCAAGTACAATTGGTGGTAGCCTTCGGCACAGGTGAAAACAGGCGCGAAGAGCAAATACTGTTCGATGTTGTCGACATCCCATACAACTATAATGCCATCGTCAGCCGTGCGACCATGAACAAGTTCGAAGCCATCTCCCACCACAACTATCTCAAGCTCAAGATGCTTGGTCCTGCAGGAGTGATCGTGGTCAAGGGTCTTCAACCTTCGGCTACATCAATGGGCGATTTGGCCGCAATCAATAGAGCAGTGCACAATGTTGAGGCCGAACTGCATGACCATGTGAAGCACATGCCGAAGCCCGCCCCTCACAGCAAGGTGATCAAGGTGCAGGTCGACGATGCCGATCCCACAAGATTTGTATCGCTGGGGGGCGACATGGGCGAAAGGGAAGTTGAAAACATCCTGAAGGTGCTCAAGAAAAACATTGACATCTTCGCCTGGGGCCCTGACGAGGTGGGAGGTGTTTCGACAGACCTCATCATGCCAAGCCAAGGAAACAGAAGCTGCGCAAGATGTCCGCTGATCGCCAAGAGGCAGCGAAAGACGAAGTGCAAAAGCTGCTCAAGGCTGGGGTGATCCAGGAGATCGACCACCCAGAGTGGTTGGCGAATTCGGTGCTGGTGCGGAAGTCGAACGGCAAATGGCGCATGTGTGTTGATTTCACAAACCTCAACAAGGCGTGCCCGAAAGACGACTTCCCCATGCCGCGGATCGACCAGCTCGTGGATTCGACAGCTGGCTGCAAACTCATGAGCTTTTTGGATGCATACTCCGGCTACCACCAGATCCACATGAATCCGGCCGACATCCCCAAGACAGCCTTCATCACGCCATTCGGCACATTTTCCCACCTTAGGATGCCTTTCGGCCTAAGGAACGCCGGAGCAACCTTTGCTAGGCTGATGTATAAGGTCCTTTACAAGCAGCTGGGGCGAAATGTGGAGGCTTATGTCAATGATATCGTCATAAAAAGCTGCAAAGCTTTCGACCATGCGTCCGACTTACAGGAGACCTTCGACAACTTACGCGCTGCGGGTATGAAACTAAATCCTGAGAAGTGCGTTTTTGGTGTTCGCACGGGCAAGTTGTTGGGTTTTTTAGTTTCTGAAAGGGGTATTGTAACATCCTCAAATTTTTAAACTAAAATTTGACTGCATCATACTGGCTTTTGAGTGGTTTTAATCTTAGACTAGCACAATCAAAATTATCTTTAAAAGTTCTTTTTTTATTCTTGATTTTGGTTCAAGTATTACCCCTAAAACCCCCTTAACCTAGTTTACCAATAAACCATAAATTGTTGCACTATCCTAAACCTTTGTGAATTTAGCAATTTTCTTTCAGATTCCAAAACTTAGAAACTTTCTCTAGATTACCCTTCTGTTAGTGAGACATTGTTATAGTGCATAATCTTTGCAGAACTCTTCCAAAGATCTCTAGATAAATTCTTTCTCCTTAGGCAAAATATTAAAAATTCCTAAATAATTCTTTTGGGCCGAAATACTTTTCTCTCCGTTCCGGCCCTTCTCTCTGTCTTGGCCCAAATCAGCCCACAGTCAAACCGCGTCGTCTTCCTCCTCCCCTGGGCGCCGCTGGATTGGGCGCCAACGCCCACAGCCGACGCCGTGCCGTGTCCATCTACCGCCGCCCACAACTCTCTGCTGCCGCCGTCGTCTTGCCTTAGACGCTAAGAAATCGCCGCCCAAGGTCAGCGCCACCTCAGCTGCCGAGCCGAACCGCCTGCGCCGGCCAATCGGCAGACAGAACCGGCGCCGTGTTCTTCTCCACGCCGCCATCATCGAGTCTTTCTCGTCTTCCTCCTCCGAACCGACCTTGGAGACCGACCATCGCCGCCTATAAATAGCCGGCGAGATCGTCCTTCCCTCCCCACATCAGAGCTTGAAGCTCTCTTTTCTCTCTCTTCTTGCCATGTCCGGCCATGGCTGCCACCACTCGATCTCCCTTATCGGAGCATTGCCGGCCAAGCCCTCGCGCTAATACCTTTGCCTCGACGAGGCAAATCCATATCCTAACTTTCCCCTTCCTTTCCCCCTCCGAGATTAGCCACCACCGCCACCTCCCATACCGGCCGGAGCTAAGCCCTAGCCATCGCCGTTCCGGTCTCCTCCCTCTCCCTCTCCGCCAGCCACCGCCCTCCCAAGGTGCGTGTTTCTCGGGAACACCACCCGCCGCCGACGTCGCCGCCTTCCACCCGCCGGAGAGCCGGCGCCCCTCCTCTCCTTCTCCTCTGTTGCTCGGCTGGAAAGAGAAGAAAAGAAGAGAGAAAGAAGAAGATGAGAGAAGGAGAGAGAAAAAGAAAAGAAAACGAAAGGAAGATTGACAGGTGGGCCCATCAACAGTAAATTTTCGTATTTTCTCTATTTAATTCGAAATCCAAATTTTAGAAGCCCATATCTTTTAAAATATAAACCCAATTCCAGTGAAACTTGGACCAAAGTTCTTCTAAAATCTTTCTCTATCTTTTGAGGCTATCTTTGCTATTTTCTCATTTTATTTCATTTTTGCCTATTTTTGGATTTTATTCGAATTCCTTTTGAATTTGAATTTAGTATTGCATATTTTGCTTACAATCTGGTTAAAATATTTTATACTTAGATTGGGACAGTACGTAGGAATTAGATAATTTCTGGGTGGCTAGTACTATCTCGATCGATATAGTCATCATCAGGTACTTATGTCAAACGAACGGGTATGACCGCAGTTTCTAGAATGGGGACAGACCTAGCCATTATGTTACTTAGCAATGTGGTACCTCTGTGTAGTAGTTCTTATTTTTAAGTCCTCGAGCAGGAGGCAACTATAGCCGCGAAGGGCAATTTCTACCATTACCATGTACAGGTAATTGGTTTGTTGAGCTCAATTATAATTATGGTTATAATTCTAAACCCTAATCGAGATGACGTGGTGTCATACGATCAGTTCCCCTCAAATACCCCGGGAACGCCAGAACTCCTTTCGCTACTGTTAACGTCACGTTCAGAGCGCATGAGGATATAAGTTCATGGAACAGGTACCATAATTGTTAATAACCTAATACTGGGCCATGACTAAGCTAATGAATATTGGCAAGTCGTGGACTGCGGGGAAAGCGTACATCTACTGCAGTAGAATATTCATGAAACTATTCGAATAGCCGTGCTCATGGAATTGAGTACCGGGACTCATATGGTACCCTGGTTAGAAACCTAAAATATATGTTTTTACAAACTCTTGCTTTAATATTTCCATATTGTCTATTATTGCTTTCTGCAAAGAACTCTACTCCATGCCAACACATAACATATTTCCATGGTAACTTGCTGGGTATTGTGAATACTCACCCTTGGTCTTATTAACCATTTTTTAGATTTGGGTCAAGAGGAGGACCCCTATGACTATTACTATGATGACCCTGATAGCTTAGAAAATGCCTAGAGGTTATACCTCCCTAGTCAGAATGTATTAGAACTTCCGCTATGTAAAATTAGCATCCATGTTTAACTAGGTGAGTACCTACCCTTATAAAACCCCTGGTCTTGTAAACTTTAACGTATGCAATGAAGAACCAGCTGCATTACTTGTATCAATATTTACAGAACCAACTGCAAGAACGGTCGCCTCAAAAGTGTTTCGCGAGGGCGTATATTGGCCTACGGTGCTGAAAGTCTGTGTTGAGCAGGCCAAAAAGTGCGAAGGCTGTCAGTGGCATAGCCGAAGCCAAGCAACACCAAACTATGAGCTGCAACCTATCGCACTAGTCTGGCCTTTCGCCAGATGGGTACTAGACATCATCGGCCCTTCCCGGTAGCGCGAAACGGGTACAAGTTTGCAATAGTAGCGATTGAATTCTTCTCCCACTGGATCGAGGCCAAACCGCTTGGTGCGATCACTTCGGCAGCAGTGCAGAAGTTTGTATGGAAGAACATTGTTTGTCGTTTTGGAGTGCTGAAAGAATTCATCACTGACAATGGCAAGCATCCGACTTTGACAAATTCAGAGAAATGTGTGAGGGGCTAAACCTGGAAATCAGGTTCGCTTCGGTCGCGCACCCACAGTCGAATGGGGCAGCCGAACGTGCAAATGGCAAGATCCTAGAGGCGCTAAAGAAAAGGCTCGAGGAGGCGGTGAAGGGTAAGTGGCTAGACGAAATACTATCTGTTCTTTGGGCCCTTCGGACGACCCCCACAAGTCCAACCAAGTTCAGCCCGTTCATGCTTCTCTATGGTGACGAAGCAATGACCCCAACAGAGCTAGGGGCTAATTCACCAAGAGTGATGTTTTCTGAAGACGAAGATGGGCGCAAGGTGTCACTCGAACTCCTGGAAGGGGTAAGAGTCGAGGCACTAGAACACATGCGCAAGTACGCTACAAGCACCTCGGCAACTTACAACAAGAAAGTTCGGCCGATGGAACTATTGCCTGGCCATCTCGTCCTAAGGAAGAAGGCGAACCCAGTGGCGGTCAGAAAGCTCTAATCGAAGTGGGAGGGGCCATACCTCATCAAACACAGGTCCAGGATGAGCTCTTTTCGCTTGGCAACACTGGAAGGCAAAGAGTTCGACTACTCCTGGAACGCTGCTTCTCTTAAGCGTTTCTATGTCTAGAAAAGGTGGCACCCTATTTGCCAACTTGTAAAAATGTACATTTGTATAGGCCATTCGGCATTTCTCGTTTTGTAAGCCCTTCAGCACAAAAATGCAAAAAAAGAGAGGAAAATTAAAAAAGAAAAAAAAAACTGGATGTAGGGCTATTATCCATCCCGGAGGCCCGAACCAATATAAAATATTTGTGCCTTTCGCCTTTTTACTTGTGTGAATGATAATTCATGGAAAAACCCCAAGGCAAACGCCTGATCAGCGAAAACGCCAGGGGGGCAAAACGAATCGGCCGAGGCATCGCTCGCCGAACGTTGAAACCGCGACAGCTTGTTTCGGGAAATAAATAACCGAACACCGTTATACTCGACTTGTGAGAAAACACAAGCACTTCTTCCAGCGCGGTACAACATAGATCGAAAGCAAAAGTCGAAAAGCTGAAAAGTCAACAGACCTATTTCGCTAATATACACAAAGGGGCTGACATGTTCCGACCTAACGAAAGCACGAAAAGTGATAATGCGAATAATAGCGAAAAGGAAATAAAAAAAATCTTTATTAACACCAAACGATAAGGATACATGCCATACAACATGGTACAGGCGAAAGAGAGTAACGGGCTTCATAGCCTAGGTTACAAAAAAATCACATCTTCGCCCCCAAAACAACCACCACTCCCCGAGGAACGACTCGGCGAACTTGGTTCGTCGTCGCTACTAATGTCATACACTACCCTAAGGGGAGAAGGGGGCGAAACGCAAACTATACTATAACGGCGCTGGGCGATCGCTTCCTGACGATCGGTCCTCTGATGGTTTCATCAAAAGCGAACCATATCCTCTAGACGTTCCACATGGACACGGTCGTAGTCGTCCAAGGTTCGCCCAGGGTGCGCTCGCATCCAGCCGGCAACCTTCAAAACCTTATAACTTTTACTGTTTATTATCATTTCGCTGTACACAGGCCGAAACGGACAATGGACCTTCGGCAAACACTTCACCGCCACGAATTTCTCATTCTTACTTCACCAATTCCCAAAGGGGGGCCGAACACACAGTTTCCGGCGAAGACCCTGCTAAGGCAGTATAGAAAGGGCAGATGGAAAAACGCAAAGTTAAGACTAGGCGAAACACATAGGATAGGCAAAAAGTGTAAACCCTCTTTAGTATGCGAAACGATGCAAACATACGTACCAAGGACATCAAACATAATAATTGACTAAACTTGGGTCATCTGTTTCATATATTAGAAAGACCGTTTTCGGCTACAATACGAAAGGGGAAGGGCCATTGGCCAAATTTACACCGTTCGCCCACCACAGCAAACGCCAAAAGAAAACTACAAAATCTAAAGAGCGGACGGAGGGCCTCACACCTCTGGGTGATCTTGGGCATCTCCTCCACCATCTTCGGCCACTGCCTCTTCTCCCTGATCCGCCGCCTCTGCCTTCGCCAATTGTTCAAGCAGACGCGCATTGGCAGTGGATCGGCCGTCCTTTTGCCAGAACTGCTTGCGCTAGGCACGAAGCGCGGGCAAAACATCTTGACAGCTGACCTCCCAATCCTCCTTCGCAAAATTCGGGAATTCGGCGACGTGTTCGCACCCGAACTGCTGCAATAGGCCCATGGTGAAGGCCGCCGACACACGCGCACAGCAATTGCCGTACGCGGTGGCGCAATCCGAGACCGCCCCGCCGGCCTGTTGATTTCACTCCGAGAAGTCAAAAGCAGAGGCATCTTCGCCAGGGACTCCTCGTACCCTCGCCCCCATATCAGTGAGGGCAAGGCGAAGCGTACGGCACGCGGTTTTGGCAGACACGGTGGCTTTCGCCATCTCTTGCGCGAACCGTTCCGCCTCTTTTTCAGCGCTCACCTCCGCCTTTAGGGCCTTCTGGCGAAGAGCCTCCATCTTCGGCTCAGTAAGGTTATAGTACTCAGCCAAGGCGGCGGATTGATCCTTTTCCTTTTGGAGCTCAGCCTTGAGTCGTTCGATCTCGGCGTTCGCCTCGCTCCCCTTCTCCAGCTCGGCTTGGAGCCGCTTATTTTCAGCCTTCGTTTCTTTGAGGGTGTTAGCGAGGCCCTCCATCTCCAAGCTCTTGCGGCCCAGTTCGTCATCCTTTCCTCGAAGACGGTTCTTCAATCCATCAAGACGAGCCCGCATGGTTCGCTCTATCGAACAATGGGCCGCAAGAATCTGGTTCAAAAAATAGAGGGGGCGAACAGGGCGAGCGTCAGATATAAGATTGTCAAAAAAAACGACGAGGGAAAGGGAAGTAAAACGAACAATAAACCCGGACTGCCAAGCTTTTGATGGCAGAACACCCTTCGTCGAACTCGTTCAGTTCGGCGAACAAGCTCGGGCTACCAGCCGGTGAGACAAGATTACTTACCCCCTCGACGAAGGGGATAAGCTCCGCCCGAGTTTCAAAATCACTGGGGGCGAAGTGGGGCGCCGCAAGAGAATACTCTGAGGCTGATGTTTTGAGTGGTGTAGCCATGAGTCTCGGTGCGGTTGTCGACCACCTCGTCCGCAGCCTTTTCAGCCGCAACTTCCGCCTCCCCTTCGTCCTCCCCTTCCTCTTCGCCGTCATGGTCCTCGATGTTATCTTCATCATCGGCATCAAAGTCGGAGGAGGTGGGGGCCCTTCGCTTCCGAGGGGCCAGCTTCACCTGCCCACGCATACGCTTCCTGGACATCCCCTCATTGCCATCGGCCTTGAAGGGTTTCGCCCGGGGTGGACGATCGCCATCATACACCCGATTCGCCCGGCCAGCCGCCTGCCGCGTGAGTAGTTGGCTGTACTCAGTGACCGACACATCGTCGATCATCCTACGGGCTTCAGTATCGGCCTGAGCAAGAGTCAGCACTGCGAAAACAAACGTGTCATAACATCAAGCGTCGAACAAAAAAAAGGAGGGGTGAAACACAAGTGCATTTAGGAAAGTAGAGACACTGTTCGCCCCCTCAGGCATAACAAGCTTTGGCAAGCCGTCGACCTCCTCGTCCTGGTTCATCTCGACCTGCCACGACTGGGAGAGAGGGAAAATCCGAAGCATGCAGAATTCCTCCACTAGGTCGCGACAGCTAAGGCGAGAGCAGACCTTGCGAAGAAGGGCAAACCGGGCTTCCATGGCGCCATCGACAGCGACCTTGGGTTTCCTGCTTGGCGCAATCGCCCTGCGCCGCCATCGGAGGGCCTTCGCCGCGTCGGATCCAGCCTCGAAGGGGATGGAGTGGTAGAACCACTTTGACATCCACTGGCAATCCCACTTCGACATAGCGGCGTTCACCGGCCAAAGATCGGAGCACTCGGGGCGAACATTAAAGTTCACACTCCTGAACGCTATTTTCTTCGTCCCAGCCGGAGTGACCACTGTCTTCGAATTCACGGTGGCGTAAAAAATGGCGCCGAAAAGCTCGGTGCTTGGTTCGAACCTAGAGGTCCGGCACGCCCAGTCGAAGATGGCGATTCTGACAAGAGCCGATAGGCTCAGTTGGGGAAGCTCCACCTGGAAAAGGCGAAGAATCTCCGGCAACAACTCGTTGCATGGAAACCGAAGGCCGGCCTCAAAAAACACGGCGAACACCACCGTCCGGTTGTCGCCAGGTTTCGGCACAATGGCCTTTCCTGGAGCAAAGGCCTGCTTTTCCAACAGCACGTTGGAGGCCACCAGCTTCGCCAACTCTTCTTCGTCCATAAGCGAAGCGCCCAGATAGGTGGTGGTGTCGTCGTATATCCTACCGGGATAGGGACCTGTAACAGAGGCTGGGTTTAGCTTACGAGGGGCCATGGCGAAGGGTGAGGGCTGCGTCTAAAAGGGAAACGGTCGAAAGGTGTAACGACCTAAAGATCGTTCTGAGGGGAGAGAAAAGAGAAAGAACGCGTGGTGAAAATGACAAGGGGACGGCGGTGAAAAAGAGGGGGGAGGGGAATATATAACCCGCCCAGGCGTCGGTTCGCCTCCCAAACCAATCATGGGCCGCCACATGTCAAAAGGGTGGGCGAAACGGTAAATTCCCATTGGCCGCGCCGCACAGTAGTGAGCCCACGAAGGCAAGCCCATCACTGTTCATTCTGGCCCAGTGAAAGAATAAGCACGACTTCGCTGCTTACAAAAGACGAAAGCTACAAAACTTTACTAATAAAAATACATTTACACGCAACACGCATTCTTTGCAGGACTACAATACAGGTTTCGGCTGGAGCATCGGTCGAAAGGGGGCACCTCATACCATACAACATGGTTTGCACGGTCTCGGCCGAAGCTCCTATCTCACCCTTGCCTGTGAGGGGCTTGTTGGTGGTATGTCATGAGACCCTCCGACCAGACCTGCCAAAACCAAGTAACCAGCAAGACTTCAAGCCCAAGGCGGCAAGCTCATCGGGGCGAAGCCCACATGGCGAAGACTATGGAGCAAAGACAGCGAAGGGCGAAGAATCGCGTTGGTATCCCGCAGGTCAGAAGGCATCTCGGGCAAAGACCAGGTGGCGAAGGGGTGCATGCCGTAGGGTAACTTCACCATGACAAGTCGAGCTTCGGGGAGGCCCAAGGGGATATCCCGGTCGCTCTAAGCCCATTGGCCATTGGGCCAGCGTTCGCCAATCGGCCCAGTGGAGGCCCATGTATCTCAATTACGCGGTGTGCCCATGTAAATGTCCCTTTAATGAGGGCAACCATGTAAATTCCCCTGTAAAACCTAAACCCTAATAGGGGGACCTGTAATAGGACTATAAATAGGCCCCTAGGGGCATGTAATAGGGGATCCCAAGAAAAAATCTCGAATATACACACTCATCGTTCCCAACAACTGTTGAGTAACCATGTCCTTCGATGTACGCAGTTGTCGCTTCGACAACACATAGCGTAGGCCCGGAGGTACAGGTTTTTAGCTCAAGCGGAGGTTGAGGTGGCAGTTCTTTGATTAGCAGATCGAGAGTCTCACCGGGTTTCGCTTCTTCCTTAATGAAATCGGAGACTTCATCTTCTAGAAGGGCCTCGGGAGACTCGTGAGGGGGAACTGCTATTACCTCCTCCGTTGACTCAATTTCTAGGAGAGTGTTGGTCAAGGCGATCCTTGCCCGTGAGAATGGAACTGAAAATCCATTCCCTCCCAGCGTTATTTTGAGGCTGTCTAATCGGGGTGTGTCAATGAGAAGCTGCTCAATGGGTAGCCCGATTAGGATGTCAAAATCTTGAATTTGAAAGATGTGGAAATCCAAGATCGCCTCACTATCTTCAAAGCAGACAGACACATCTTGCATAATCTCAAATCCTTCAATGATATTTCTGTTCGGATGCTTGAAGAATTTGTTCGTCGGGGTTACTGCCTTATCACTTAGATAAGCGAATGCAAAAGATTCGGAGAAGAGATTGGCCCCAACGGTCAGACTGTAGAGAATACCAATGTCATTCTCTTCCAGATGGCAAGGAATGATTCGGGGAGCGGTATTTACCTAATTACTTAGGATGAAAGCTCTGCCTCCCTTAGCCATTCGTCGCTCATTATGGATGTTAGCTCCCGAATAGTTTCCCTTAGGAACCCAAGTTCCATAGGATCGGGGGGCGGCAAAGGAACGAGTGGTTTCTTCTTACTAAAATAGTTCAGGGTGTTGCCATAATCTTATTCAAAACCGTCCCTGAACAAAATTGCGGCACGATCTAGAGTCTGAATTTCTTCATTCTCGACGGATGGCTGCTCAGGAACCTTCTCCTCAATCGAGCTAGCAGAACATGATGGTTCAGAGTGTGGCTCGATCGTTAGAGGTTCCTCTATCTTGTACACGGATGCCTTCGACTGGGGTTCATCAGATTGCGTCATGAAGGAAGTATTTTCTAGAATGCGATCCAGAATTAGTCTTCCTTCCGATGGTGTTTTGTGCATGAATGATCCTCCGGCGGTTATGTCCAAATAGAATGCAGACTCCTTATCCAGACCCGTATGGAAGTGTTGCAGTAGCACATACTCGGGTAAGGATAGGGTTGGTCCGGACTGCACTAAATTAGTGAATCTGGACTAAGCTGCACCGATTGATTCGTTTTTTATCAGCTTAAAACTGAGAATTTCTACTCGAAGGGCAGTAATACGAGTAACTGGGAAGAAGACAAGACAGAATCTATCTCGCAACTTTTCCCAACTACCATTTACGCATCCAACGGTAGAGGTGTACCATTGCTTCGCCCTTTCTTGAAGAGAGAACGGAAACAATTTCCACGGCACAGTTTCTTGTCTCATGCCACAAAGAAAATGATGGTAGGGATTTTCTAGATCAAACCAAGAAAAAGGATTTTCCCTAACCATATTGATTAGTTCGGGGCGAATTTCATAGACAGTTGTATAAATGGGCTCCGATGAAGGAGGTGGCTCATAGAATTCGCCCCGAGGAGCAGACAGCTCAAAAAGAGATTGCTTCATGGTCGAGAAGAGTTTAACAGGAATACTTCTCTGTGATAGAAGGGGTAGAGGAAGAATAAAAACGTAAAAAGGATACGAGGATGAACAAGGTTCAGAAATGATCAGCAACCGTTCCCCATCAACGACGCCAGAAATACTTATTGGTATTTCTTACGATCATAGATAGAATTCGCAAGCGCACGGATATACCAATGTAGCACTTCCCCTACGGAGTATTCCAAGGGTATCGAATCCAAGGAAACGTGTGTGGTCAGATCTTCCAAGGACACCAAGCAGATGATAGGCTAGGGTAGAAAGGATTTACTAGTGAGAAACAGTGTCTAGGGAAACCTTAACTTTAATCCTAATGCAATACTTCAGGCACTGGCAACCCGCTATTCCCAGATGTCGCTTTACTACGTACCCGGACAGGGAGGACTTAAGTGATCTTGAGGGTTGTCACCACCTCTACACCTACCTCAAACGTACTATGGGATACGCAGCAATTACTGGATAACAATTACCTAAACACCACGTCTAAGCAATTAATATCTACTTTAGTGTTTATAACTCACCAAAGCAATCACTATATTTTAGTTGATTATAGTGAACAATAATCCTGTATGCTATTTAGGAACTAACCAAGAGATAATTCTCACAAGATAAATCCAAATTACTCAGAAAGAATATTATATTGAATTCAGAGTGATAAACAGAATAAAAGAAATAGGAGAAGATTACCGACAACTCCGGAATTCTTCCGACTTCTTCTACTCTACTCTCTTCCTATTCTAGTATACAATATAGTACAATAGAGTCTCTTATAATTCAACTCAAGCTTGGAAGTGTGTGTGTGAAGTGAAGAAGTGAGGTCTAGTTATATTGCAGTTATGACAGTTGTGAGAAGGGGAAATGTCCGAACTACCAAGCAACCGTCATTAGGAGAGCATCTGGAGCGTCCATGCCAAACCCCAGGATCAACGGTGATCAGTGTGTTTCGGCTGAACCAGGGGGAGCCATACCTGAACTCTTCCGAAGGCTTCCAGACTCCGATTCCTGTTATATTCTTACTCCACTAGCTTAAGAACACTAAACTAAACTTGAGAGAATATGAGAGAGCTTTGCTTGGAGTGTGTGAGTGAAGTGAAGATATGAGCTCCTTTTATAGCCTCCCAATGACGGTTGTGATGGTTGGAATGGTCGAAAATACCATCCTACTGTCAATGGGGGCTGATCTACACTGTCCAGGCAAAGTCTTAGATCAAACGGCGCTGAGGATGGTTCGGCCGAACCGCCTGGTTCATTCGAACCTGGGGCTAGCCCAACCAGCCCAGATTTCAGCTGGTGGCCTCCTCTCGTGCTCTTCTCCGCGGACTTGTGAATTTTGGCCCAACTCATCGTATCATTTCTGAGTTCTTGGCCCATTCATGCATAAGTATGATTCTCGACACCGTCCGATTGATTTATCGTCTGATTTGATATCGATTCTCCTCCACTTTATAGTTATTCTCTGCAAAAGGTTAGTAAACCTAATACTAGTGGAATATTATTATTCTAACACAAATATGCATTGCAAGCATAACTAGTTCTCCTCTATTTAGGTAATATTGATGGTTGAAACTGATCGCTAGCGACCGTCAACAATCAACTAGCTCACTATGGGGCATCTCACTAATATTTTAGACCTTGATTATTTATGATGACATTGGATATGTACAACCATGATATTAATTAAACTAAAATATGTTTAATGGTGGGTCGTGGGTGCATGGTTTTGATAGGCACGCTTATAGCATTTAAGGACCGGTTCATGGGAAACACTAGAAGAATTACTGCGCGTTCCACAAGCCAGTGTGGGCAATGGCTAGGCTTGTAGTGTGGATTTTTCATAGCTAACGTACCTAGGCAAGGGTGCACATGATGGTTGGGTCAGCGGGGGTTTACCCGTTTATCAGCTTCTGGATTCACCGTGGCGCATGGGGGGACTGCCCAGCTCAGTTTAGGGGTGGGGGTGAAACCCCAGCGAGGTGTGATTGGTTAGGGATGGTTATACGAAGGGTCCTATCATAGTCTCTTTCCGGTATGTCATGGTGGCACGTCGGCGCACGAAAACGTGTTGTGGGACTGTCGCTTGTGGGTACAGTTGTACACCTCTGATCAGAGTAAAACTATTCGAATAGCAGTGCCCGCGGTTATGGGCGATCAACCAGATTAACCATGATTAGTTTCATCCCTAACAATTTGACTTAATGGAACTGGTTTAGTTCAAGTGGTTGGTTGGGCTTGTTGCAACTTGGTGAAGCGTTGGACAGTGATGATTAATATTGCTTAATTTACTACAACTGTTTTACTACTTTCAACTTTTGCTTTTAAATACCGGCTTTATACTTTTGGTTTTAAATACCGGCTTTATGCAAATAATCTATAGCCTACCTTGGAATACCTTGCATCATACCTCCTCTTGGTATTACTTGCTAAGTACAGTGGGAAGTACTCAGTCTTGCTCTATCTTCCCCATCCTAGAGATGGAGTACTTTTTGGATGGAGGTTACTACTAGTATGATTTTAGGTTGATGCTTCGCTGGTTAATTAGGCAACATTAGGTGGTTTTACAACTCTAGACCTTGGGGATATTCTCATCACCTGGACACTATGGAATTGTTGGATCATTGTGGAATTGGATTCACACCTCCCCTCTATTCAAAACCCTCAAAATGGTTTTAGGCTGGGCTCGGGGTGCATGGTTTTGATAGTAGCACCTCGGCCATATAAGGACCGGTCTTCGGGCCTCTGTTGCAAAGCACTACCGTACTTCCACATGTCTAGTGGGTAAGGCTTAGTTTGTGGCTCAGTCTGGTTATAAACAAAAGTACACGGATGGAGATGGACGAAGTCGGGGGTCGATGGACATCTCCAGGACAAATGAAGGCTACACGAGCTGCGGCCCGGTAGTCGAGATGTCATGGCACAGGGCCGGTGTCCTGTTGCTAGGGGCTCAGTCCTGCCTACCTGTCCCGGGGGTTCCGGCCGTAGGTGGGGTTGGGTCGGTACTCTTGTCTACGGCTAGGATGGGTTGGAAACTATGTCACGTCTTCCGTCCGTATACCGTGGTGGTATGTGGCACGTGGTTACACGTGAGGAAGATGTATCTTGTGGGTAAAGATGTACACCTCTGATCAGAGTATAATCTATTCGAATAGCCGCGTCCTCGGTTATGGGCAAGCCGAGCAATGTACCCAAGTTAGTGTTTATAATTCTTAAAACCTGCTTAACAACTAAAATGTGGAATGGTTGGCCTGGGTTGGCTTGGGACGAGCTGGGACCCAGGGTCGGGTTGCCAGTTCGGTCTGAATCATCGTAGGCCTTGGGTTAAGGCAGGTTCGTGTGGGTTCACGGCCTTGATTAATAATATTGTATAGCTCTAGGACCGTGTTTACAAAATAGCTTTGAGCAACTAAGTGTCTTTTAATGCTGTTTGCTGCAAACCCTAACTCCCTATATTATGGTTCCCTTGTACTCCATTGCATTTATTCTGCACTTGTGGGTGTGTCTTGTTGAGTACGGTGGTTGTACTCAGTCTTGCTCAATTTTTCCCAAACCCAGAAGAGGAGCCCCTGGATGATGAAAGCTTTGGTGTCTAACTCGTGCCTGCCGTCAAGCGCCTGTGGTCGTCGCCCTAGTCTTCCGCTGTTTTTCGTTTGTCTGCTTGTGTGTTGGGTCTTCGCCGCCCATGTAATAAATTAATTAATTACGCTTCCGCTTGTTAAACTCTGAATTGTATCAACTTTTGGTGTACCTTGCCTCCTGGGACAAGGAATAATGCACGCACGTAAGGAACGCCCGTTGGGTTATTTCCGGTCGTGACAATCATCAACATCGTCATCATCATCAAAAAATCATTTTCCTATTTTCACTCCATAGAAGAATGGAGTGAAAACAACAACCTCATGAGTGTCAGGAGTTAGGAAGGCCTTGTCGCACGCTGGACGTCATCCGATGATCTCCTTGGCCGGAAGTACACCGTGCGCCACCATTTCCTTCAGATTATCCTCCGTAACGTCGGAAGGCGCCCATTGGCTTTCAAAGCTTTCTCTCTCCTCCGTCATGGATGAGAAAGGGATGAAGAGATCTGGAGAGAGAGTTGTGATGATTGGTGGGGAGATTGATGTGGTGGTCGCGCGGAAGACTCTGGCGGAAGAAAAATGGTTCGTAGAAGGCGGATTGAGGCGTGGTTGCAAACCCTAACTTTCGCCGGCGCGGTTTTGTTACCATAGCGAGAAATAGGGAAAGAAGTGGTAGTTGCGGCGAGGAAGATGAAGGGGTTTCCTTCGTTGCGATTTTTATCGCAGGGTATCGGAAAGCGCTAATGGGCCTGGGCCTAAACAGTGTTCAGCCCAATTATATTTTCGGTGTGGCTGATTGTGGTCCTTTGGGACTTAGGCGTATTATTTGCTTAGGCAAAATTGCCCACAATAATATAGCCCAATACCGTTGAAAATCTTTTTAATGCAGTTAGATAATTCTTTGGAATTACTACTATGCAAACAAAAAGGTGCCCTACAGTAAAATATCATATTTGTTGACCTCTTTATAAGGTCACAAAGCTGTTAGGGTTAAATCAAGACAACTAGTTTTTTAAAGTTGTCGTTCCTTTGGCTTGTTATATGCTTAATTTCTTTAATGACAGGCACAAGTTACGGCTTAGGCTGTTTAAGCTTGGAAGTTGTTATTTATTCAGCGGTTGATAAATCATTTAAGAGTTTTTACTTGGATTCTTTATAACGAAAGCTGTTTTAAGCACCAAAATAGATAACAGATCTTTAGAGTGCTTTTACCACTCGGATCTTTATATAACTTTATGGTGATCTTATTAAATTAAAACAGTCGGCTGAATTTTTGGATAAAAGTCGCATAAGCTTTGCTATTTGATTACTTGGGTAATTTTATTTATAAAACCACTCGGTTGGTTATTAAATTATACCTTGACTATATGTTTAGTTTTGTTTAACTAATCACATAGTCGGGGGCTATACCTATTTTTTTTATTTTTTAGCCCTTCACAGTCTTTGCTTCAAGCACTCGGGAGACCAAGGCAGGAATAATTAAAGCACTCGGGATTTTCATCTAAAAGGCTCAAGAGAAGATTATTTCATCGACTGTAAAGGTCTCAAGGACTACTGTGGAAATTATGGATACCCCATACCCATACGGCATGCATATCCGACTGGGTATGGGGATACCATATATAGATAAAATATCTTTAGTAAAGGACTCGGTTGTTATGTTAGCTTGTATACTAAGGAAACATCCGAAGGTCCTAGTCAGATGTGATTGTAATTTCCGTTATGAACATGGGCTGTATCTTGTAATACAGACTCCTCCCCCTATATAAGGAGGGGTTCGGGTGCCTTTAGGGCCATAACTTTTCTCTCAGATCATACGATCAATAATATACTCGGCGGATTATTCCCCCGACAGGAGTAGGGTATTACTTCTCGTTAAGAAGGCCTGAATCTATATAAACCTCTTGTCTCGTGACCGATCCACTTTTTCTGCTTGATAGCCACCCTTTTTAGTATTGCCGAGATATTGTTTTGACACATTCATCTTAAATTTTGAGCTCAAATTTGAAAATTTGAACTTAATTTTATGAAACTTCCAACTAAAAATTTCAAACCTTTCAACCCGAAATTCAAAATTTTTAACTGAAAATTCAAAAATTTCATCTCAAATTTTTAAACTTTCAAATCCAATTTCAAAACTTTTAGCTCAAAAATTCAAAAATTTCAATTCCAAATTTTAAAACTTTTAACTCAACTTTTAAAACTTTCAACTCCAAAATTTAAAAATTTCAACATGAACACAAAATTTAAAATTTTAAGTATAAAAATGTAACGGTTGCTGCCGATTGTGATTAAATCATATAATCAGCAGTAATCACGTGATTAGCGTCCGCATGTGGGGGCAGCAGGACGCGGTAATGGGAGGATTCCGGGTCTATCTATCCTACCGGCGCCATAAAATTAGGCAATTCATAGTCGGTCGATGACTGCATGCGTGCAATGCATTGCTTGCGTTGCTGGCGGAGAAAGAGCATGTGCAGAGAAAAATCAATGCTATGCAGACTGCAGCACATGGTGACAGCACTCCAGGGGGCGCCCAATTTTTGGAATCCATGGGGTGCCCGACGCGTAGTTGCGTTTGCACATATAGGCTGTCCCAAAAATTGTCATTAGGAATTCAGTTAGAACTTGAATTGCTGTAGGATACTTATTCTGCTGTAGGGTATAAAAAGGGCCAGTTAAATGTATGATATTACATTCGTGATGCCACTCTCCATAACCAGAACTAGCATTGGTCCAAAACAAGATCCCTATGCACGGAAATTGAATGGCCTAGCTATTTACAAACGCTTACATCAAATTAACAGGCCTTCCAACGTAGCAAATAAATAAGCTCAGCGGCATGTATTTGTCAGAAAAAGGTCAAAAGTGAACAACTTCCCCAAACGGAATCAAGCTTCACAGTTCACGGAGATCCACCATATCAAATTTCACGTTTGGGTTCATGTACACATGGGAGCAATGCTCATAGATAGAGGTACCGTCGAGAGGCTCCTCATGAGGATGAAATCCACTCTCTTGACAATCATGTATCACACCCATACCACCTGGATCCGTCAGATGAAATATACCATGCTTTCTGTTGAATGAAAAAAGAAAGACAGCCACGTGATCAAATGGGAATAAACATGAATAGGACGCCAATTTCAAGACATCGGGCCACTGTACCAGTCCTTGTTACGTTGAGTTAAGCAAATTGAAGTATCTCAAAAAAGGAAACCAACGGCTACAGAGCAGCTTTACAGCATGTGAGCAGGTTAACAAAATTCTCTGTGCAGGAATATGTAACGTATTTGACATTAGCGTAGCATCATGGTCTCCAGCATGCACCTTTGATTTTTTTTATATGAAAATGATAGTGAGACAGTTAAAATATTATATGCATCTAGTATCTACTGCCCCAGGTGCCACTCGCCATTCATAGTTTTGGGATGCATTTAATACTTCGCAAAATGCATTTACTAGTGGATACGTTGTTGCAGTCAACAAGACTTTTTTCCCAAGGAATAAGTCTACTTCACCACCTATAAGTATTGGGGTTGGTCTACTTAACCCCCTAAAGTACGAAACCAGATATTCTACCCCTTGAAGTATGAAAACCAGTTCAAATAACCCCCTATAGAGTAGTTTTGTAGGTGGTTTTGCCATGTAAATGATTACGTGGCAGCGGTATTGGCTTGCATGACACAAAGATTAGTCTAGTAAACCCAAGTTGATCTAACTATTGCTTTTCACTCACTGATCGGCAAGCCTAAAAAATATTACTCCCACGATCCTATAATATAAGGAATGGTCAAACTTGATACGATTGGCTTATAATTTCTCATGTCCTATAATAAGGTTTATTATAGCAACAAAATTATAATCATATGAAAGTAAATTCAAATGTCAATCCAATGATAATATTCTCAACAAATAAAATTCAATTCATATTATACTAATTATTGGTCAAATATTTTAGAAGTTGAATCTTGAAATGCTTGTGAGCCTCATATTATGGGTTGGAGGGAGTATATATTAACACTAATTTACATCATTCTCAGCCCGTTTCACTTGTCAATAAAATGCTTAGCATGTTACAATAGTCTCTATAGTCCAAGAGGCCAAAACCATTGACATGTCATCGTGTGCACAGCAAAACCATGTATAAAACCACTCTAGGGGGTTATTTAAACTGGTTTTGATACTTTAGGGGGCAGAATACCCGGTTTCGTACTTTTGGGGGTTATGTAGACCAGCCTCAATACTTCAGGGGGTGAAGTAGACTTAGACTGTGTTCATTGCCCCTGCTTCCCAACTCCCTCCTCTCGTTTTCCGCGCACACGCTTTTCAAACTGCTAAACGGTGCATTTTTTACAAAAAGTTCCTATACGAAAGTTGCTTAAAAAAATCATATTGAACCATTTTTGAAAAAAAAAAGATAATACTTAATTAATTGCATGCTAATGGACCGCTCCGTTTTCCGTGCGCGGGGCATGGGTTCCCAATCCAGGCTGCCGAACACAACCTTATTCCTTTTCCCAAATCCCAATAGGTTAATTTTAAAGAGTTGAATTAGATTCCCTTGGAAAAAGAACTACTGATATGAAATCAACAGTTTTAAGATAATCTACAAGAAGAAACAAAAATTCTTAACAGTTGTCAGCACTCATCCATAGCATAATGATCCATAGCTGCCAACTAGATTGCCCACAGATTTTGGAAGCATGTTCAGTGGAACAGATACCTTGTTGTATCAGTAGGTGCCATAACTATTGCAATTGCTTCAGGAAGCATGACCTATTGACAGCAAGATGCCAAGAACACAATGTTAAAAAATAAACAATTCCATCCAACAGTTTTTAAAATATAAAAACATCAGTCACACAAAAGTTCATTTGACAAACAAGTCAATAAAGAACAGTACTTGACATGACCAAGTTGCACCGCTAACATGCATTTTGAATGGTAAGCATCTAAGGTTCAATTGAACAATGAGAAAAGTCCATTTATGGTCCCTCAACTATGCCCTTGGTTCAACTTTGGTCCCTCAACTATGGAACCGCACACTTTTGGTCCCTCAACTCTCAAAACCGTCCACATTTGGCCCCTGGGTGGTTTTTGATGACATGGTGCCACATGGCATCCTAGTTAGCAATTTAAAATAAATAATGTATAGAATATTAGTATTAATCGATTAAGGAGAAAAAGAGGAAAAGGAAGCATGGTTGACATGTACTAGGTTGTAGCATTTTCTTCATTTTGCTGTTATTTATTATTGATTGGCATGTTAATGTCATCACTCCACCTACATGGACTCCACATAGGCGCCAAGTCACAAAAATCACCCTGGTTTGACCCAAGGGATGAAATGTGGACAAGTTTGAGAGTTGAGGGACCAAAAGTAAATGGTTTTATAGTTTGGGATCGAAGTTGGACCAGGGCAATAGTTGATGGACCAAAACAGGACTTTTCTCTGTTGAACAATAAACTGTACATGGATTAATCAAAATGGCATACTGAGCAGCTGAGAGCTGATCACAATACCAGACAAGTATGGCACCAGTAAGTTTAGGAGATTACCTGGTATGAATAGTGATTATGAAGATCAATGGAAGATAGGAAGCAGGTCTGTGTTGGATGTGTCTGGAAAGAACAGAAAATCGATGAGAAAAAAAATCAAACAATTATATTGCTGCATCATTCGAACAATCATTTTATATTAAGGAAAAAAAAAGATAAAATGCTACATATAGAAAAAATGAGTATTATGGCACCCCAGAATGAATTTAAACTATTAGACTCAAATATATCTGATGGATTGCAAACTCTTTGAACACAAAGATGGTAACATTGAATTTCATAGACATAAATCATATGTTAAACTTCCTAGTTCCAAGATAACCATCGAATATGTCTCAACAATGCAACAGGAATTGCAAATGGAGATGCAAACACCCAAAAAATATTCCATTTACAAAATATGCTTCCCAAACAAAGTGTACAATATGTCAATATCTAGACATAGCAGAGTAGCCGCAGTTAGTCATGCTAGATCAGTGGTGCCTTCAATAGTTATTGCAAGTTAGAAAACAGATATAGGTCTAACGTTTACATTTCCCTCATGTCTGAATCTCAAGACATTTAAAAATTGCACAAACAGAGTAATGCAACACTCAGAGCAAAAATTAGCTTGATCAATCAACAATATACATTTTTTCAATTGGACTTACATGAATCCAACCAAGAGTGAAAAGTGAGCCTTTGTCCTGAACTTCAAATATTTCTTCTTCATTTGTAGCTTGACACTGGAAAACAAGGAAGATCATATATTTATTTCTTAAAATGCTACCTTTTGAGTACTGTGCTGCAACATGCAAAATTGCAGTATAAAGTAACATGCAAAAACAAAAAATCCATAGGCAATTAACTGACACTTACTGAGGCTACTAAACAAATCAACTTATTTCAACTCAAGACTGATAAAAAGTTTCTAGTGCTCACCGCTTTCAGGAATACAATTACTATATATAAGAGTGAATCATCAAGACAAAGCTCCTAAAAACACAGGCATCAACTTGCCCGTGCGTTCCAACGGGATCTGGAGTAATACGGCATAATGGTTTTATAGGGTTTAGTTTTCTCTATTCCGGTTTTCTTGGTGGGTTAGCCTTTACATGGGAACAATTCTCTGGGAGGAGTGGGCCGATTCAGTTTATTTTTTTGCACTGCGCGCGGTAAGGGAGGGAGGACAACGACTGCATCTTTATAGTAGTAGACAAATTAAAAATAATTATGTGGCTGGTACTTCCTCCGTTTCACAATGTAAGTCATTCTAGCATTTCGCATATTCATACATAGTGATGTTAATGAATCTAGATAGATATATATGTCTAGATTCATTAACATCACTATGAATGTGGGAAATGCTAGAATGACTTACATTGTGAAACGGAGGGAGTAGTATTTTCTTCTGTCGTACTTTGTACTAGGTATGGTGTCATATCATCATTGCAAAGCCATATGAAAGCATAACTATCACTGATCTTTTCTAATGTTTGTTAATCAATTATTTCAGTAAATTAGTTGTTAGTGATACAAAAATATACTGTAGAGAATGGAGCACCAGGGACTCTACAAGAACTCTACATGATCAAGCACGTAATAGTAGGCAAGGGCTCATCTCAGAGTCAACATCTAATTGAAGAAAGTGCTGAACAAGATAACAGAATATAGACAACTTACTGAATCAGATGTTGATCTCTGCTTAGGAATTATCAGTGTTGTCACATAAAAAGTTCTCTTTTTCTACAATATAAATACTGTGTTAGTAATGTAGACATACATAATGGTGATCTATTTTACTCCATGTTGACAGCAATAACTCATACCAGAGTACCAGCAAGAATACCACATGTTTCCAGATTATTTGCAGTGTTTGCCTCAGCAACCCTCAGAAAACACTCCATTAATGTCACCGGCTGAGAAGTAGGTAAAATATAAAAAAGCATCATTCATAAGTCAATCAAAGTAAAAAAAGAAGTACATATACAGATGAAATGGGGATAGAAGAATGAGACACTTTCATGCCTTCAATATAATGCGGTGGATCTGTAATAGTACCAAAATAATGTAAATAAACTACAGTAGGAATTTACCACATGCAAATTCTGATAGCGTCCAGTGCTAGAACTAGCAATTCCTGGCCCCAGATCAGCAACTGTTGATGTAGAAATTGCCCTATGCTGTGGATGTACTTGTGCCATGACAGGTGGGGGAGAAGGTTGCCTGATATTCAACTGGGAAAATTCTTCTTCAAAACCAGGAGACACAGAGGTTGCCTCCTCTACTGGTAAAGACAATTGGCCATCGTCTAGGGACAAAACAGATTGCATATCCTCATTTTTATTTGTTGGAAAATCTTGTGATCTACTAGGACCATATAAGAGGTCTTGGTTCAAGATTGATGGTACTAAACTGCAGGACAACGGGGAAGACAGCATCAGTGATATTGATGTGACCATGTGAATGGAAACACTTCTTAAAGAGAATAGCTGCAACTAACGGAGTACTCACCTAGAGACATCACTTTTGGTTAGTTCAGCATTACTTGGATATTGGATCTGCAACAAGCAGTAATGGAATTCATTCATAGTATGTCACTAGTTGCCAATTGAAAACATATAAAAAATGAGAACAAAATAATCATACCCTGATACCAGTAACAGGTGCCGTCCATTTGCCATGAAGCCCATTAGGCCCCAGTACCGAATGTCTGGATAGAGTTTCTTCTTTAGGATAAGGCAGATTGCCATATCTGCGTAATTTACACATCAAGTAAATAACATTGTCCTGCATATTAAGAGAAAAAATATTGAAATGTACACTGTGTATGCTAACATCAACAGTTGTACAGAATACTCAATATGTTTCAGGCAAGCAAAAAATGAGATTCATATATGACCTCAAGTTGGATAGAACAAAGATATCAAAAGAGAATCAGAGGCAGAGTTATAGGCATGCCAATCTGACCAATTTGCAAACCAAATCCAATAATTAAAATTTTCATATAAAATGATTTCAGAATAAGACCATACGCGTTAATCAGAATGCAGTAAAAATTTATTGATTTCTATTCAAGTATCAAGTACATGACCCATTCCCACATATCAAAGTATACATTCACAACTGATTGATGAACCGACTGATACTGACCGGTTATGCGTGTTTATTATTTTACAAATAACTAGGTTAGTTAGATCTATTAAGAAAAATCCATGTCACTCGACAAGTCGACATACCCAACGTTCCAACCAGCACTTGAGACCTTGAACCTATGGGCTTCGATATGCAGTCTATATGCATAAAGTGCTGAAACATTGCTCAAATTTACTGAAATGTTCAAGGTAATAAAAATTCAACTGATCTGCACCTTACGTGATTTTCATCAAGTTTTTAATCTGGAATTCCATACTTCATACGTCTGAGCCACTATTTAGATCAAACAAAGATACTTAGGATACACCGCATCATGCAGATGCGTATGAATGGCCAAATAATACACTCACGATTTGACAAGCTGACTATCAGGTCTGCCACTTTGTGTTGGTTCCACTTGATGCTTCCCTCCAGAGAATGGCATCTTCAATAATCCTGTAGGGCTTCCAACCAATGGCTGCACAAGTAAAGAACTAATGAATTAACCAGAATAACCACACAAGAATATTCAACAATTCAATGCAACATCAGTGGTAGTACCTGTGTGAAACATGAACTTTGGGTAAGATGATCCATCTGACTAATTGCAGCAGAGGTTCCACTTTGACTATTAGGTTCTTGTGTGACCCCTCTATTAAGGTCAGCAATTTGCCGTAGCACAACTGGCTTCAGAGTCTCAAGCTCATTAACAACATTCAAGAGTTTCTACAACAAAACATCAACATATTTTTGAGTGATTCATCAAAAGAAAAGTTTTGCTATATGTATTATAAGTCCAAAATGGCATATTAAGATCCTCAGATGCCACATGGCGTTTTACCCTGACAAACTTGTACATTCTAGCAATAATTTGTTCATGTATACATTCAATCAAAGAATGATGAAAATAGTAAGCAGGGCACTTGAAAGGTTTAGGAGAAGCAATACATCAGAATTGTGTGGGCCTTTCTTCAAGAATTCCTTTTCTCGTAGCTTGAATGCATGATAATCACGATGTTTTGGGATAGTCTCACACAGCAAACTGAAAATTACCAGTGATCACCAGATATAAATAATTAGTCTCCAAGCAATAATCACACGCTAAAAAGCAAAGATAAACCAACATTGTGCACCCACCTCGAGTATCTCAGAAGGATGATGTAAAGGTCTACGAGATTCTTCTCCTCCCTATATATGTTGGCCTAAAAACATACAAAACACAACCAACTGTAAACCAAATCTAATGTAAATCGCGTGGCAAATATAGTGCTCGATTCGCTAAACCATGCCCTATATCTCCAAAACGTGCCCCCTCCTATACACAAAACTAACATCTAAGCACTAGATGGTGAGATCTAAGAGGCAGCGGGACTGATTGTAGATGGAATTCCGGCTTAGGGTTTGACCTGGCGGAGGAGGTTGTCGGCGATGCGGAAATAGTAGGCGATGCTGATGCGGTGGTCGACGGAGACTGGGCGTGCCATCGCCTCGATGTTGATTTCTCCCATAGCTTGGCGAGATGATGGCATGGACATCTTCGTGGTGCCTAATATCCGCCCAGCTTTTACAGCGATGTCCAGGCCAATCCAGTAGAGGCACAGAGGCGAAGATCTGGTGGAGGGCGCGGGACCACTCCGGCAGAGCGGGGGTTGAGACGGGAAGCCGCACAGAGGCGAAGGGGCAAGGCCACGCAGGCTACGAAGAGAGAACGGCAGCCAGGCAGGCAGGTGGGGCGTGGGCAGAACGACGCGGCGCGGAGGCGATAAACCGAGGGAAAGGGTGTGGAGCGGCAGCGAGGCCCGCGGGAGAAAGTGCAGCAGTCGCCGGTCTTCGATTAGCACGGCGAATAGGAGGAGAGAGGCGCCGGGCGCGACCAGGAGAGAGAGGAGATCGAGGTGCCGCCGTCCCGACGCGACCTGCGACTGCGAGAGGAGGAACGAGCAAGATGAACACAACAGAAGATGGGCTTTACGCCTTTACTGTAGTTCTTTTTTCCTCATAATGCTAGTTAATTATTTTCTAATAAACTTTTATGATACCACTAGAAAAAATGCCTTTGCTTGCAACGGCGAGAAAAGACGAGAAAATTGAGAAAAAGTTGAGAAATATTTATATTATGTAATTAATTAAAATATAAATTTCACCGTCTTCTTCATATAAAGAAAATCTCTATATATATATATAATGTTGAAGTAAAAAAAGACCCATAAAAATCAAGGTTAATTCTGGACTGACCTAGCTATATGGTAGGTCTAACATCACCGTACTATCTGGTTTTGGATTTGGAGTGGTTGGATGAAGTAGTGACAGTTGGGATGTTGGGCCTAGCTCCTTTAGGTCAGGAGATCGTCACGGATATTAAGATGCGGTCGACAGACGGATGGCGAATTGGAAATGACCAGAAGAACCGTTGGAGTTGTATGTAATGTTGTGTCATAGTTGTAGATCTGGAATTGACGTTCCAACTAATATAGATATCTTGTTCACGGATGACATTATTGAGTTCACAACTCTTAGGATCGTGTTTTCGTCAAGTCGTCCTTATTGAATTGATCTCATCGATCCTATTTTGATGAGCAGCGACAACAGAATTTTGAATGATGCACGGTTCCTGTGGAGTTTTGAGTTGTGCAGCTGCATATATGAAAGAACTTCGGGACATGGACGTACATATATAGCGTCCTAATCCAAATCGAGAACGGGATGACCGTTACACCCTAATTCTTGTGTCAGGGATTTATAAATTATTTAATAAACTATTTTTAGAACTTATACAAAAGTTCAATTAATTTACCAATGAAGTAAAATGGGGGAAATAACGTTTCCCAAATAAAACATGGTTGGATTTAATTTTTATTAATTTTTCATGATTAATTACATTTCTATGAAATTATATTGAAATTTTCAGAGCTAAATTGCTAATTTTAATAATACAAACATCATTTCAGTATTTATTTAAATAAAAATCTAAATAAAAAACCCCTTCCTCTCTGGACCATTTTCAGCATATTTCCTTCTTTAGCCCGCAACCGAGCCGGTCCTCTTTCCTCCCTTCTCCTCCACTCCGCCTCGGCCCACGAGCACACATCCGGCCAGCAAGCCACTGCAAGTCTAATCGGCCTCCCCCGCTCCAGTGCTACAGTGTTGTTCCCTACCTCCGTCCGTATTCCCGCATCTATCTAACGACGCCTAAATCGGTCTCGATCCTCCGTGAAATCCGATCACAAGTTTGGAGATAATCCGAAATTGATTGAGAGGTTTCGATCATTATCTCTTCCTTTTTCCTTTTTCCTTTTTCCAAGAATCAAAGCAAAACCATGTCGTATAGATCTCGGAAGCGAAACCCTAGAGTTTTTAGTCTGACTCGTGCAGTATAGAAAATCGGGTGCGTACATACGAAACGAAATGACGGATGAAAAAAAAAGTGTGACGGGAGAAAAGAATGATGTGACAAACGGAAAGATACTGATTTAAGTAGTTAAAGATAAGAAGTGGGAAATAAACTTGTGAAAACAGGTTTTTATATGGGTATGGCGATTATGTGGGATCGCTCATGTATATCCCTATGCAGAGGAACTATACTCTTGGGTCCAAAAGACTACTCTTTTCACATACGTTATGCATATGTTTAGAAGAACTTATATTTTGGATAATGCAAGTGCTATCATGCGCTATTGTCGGTCCGTATACCAAAATTTCAAACAAATGATGTAAAGAGATCTCAAAGAAAATAATAAGATATCCATGTAACCCATCTTTATATCTATAAGTATGTCAGTATAAAACTTAAAGTCAGTTATAGTTATACAAAACCATATTAGTTACCACTCTCTCTAATCTGGAATATAGGTTGTTTTAGCCCTTACTAAATCTTTACTAAACATAATAAGTCGTTTTAGGACTTCAACTTTCATCTCTCACAAATAAAGTGATTCATCTTTTCCAATACAAAATAAATGAATAAGGCAAGAAAATCATTTGATTGTCCTTAATTCTTCTGCCCGAGTCTAAAACAATATATGTTAGGGATCAAAGGGAATATTAAATTAACATGAATTAAATCACTAATTTTTTATGCATGTTAAGTTGATTTTTTTCCTCACTAATTTAATATAGTCTTGAGGAAAATTTTCAAATCTTGAGGGAAACCTTGAGGTTAAGTTGATTTTTTTTCCTCACTATTTTTATAAACGGAAAGATTAGCACGAGTTTTTGCACCATTTAATAGTTTAAAAAATGTGCTAATGAAAATCGAGGTAAAATCTATAACTTAATCAGAAAAGAAAATGACCGAATTCTCTATTTTTTTTGTGACGATGGCAACAGTAGGTGGAGCCATGGCGGAGTGAGTGAAGGTAGAGAAAAGGGGCGTACAAGATCTAGAGGTGGGGATAGATTCTGGAATTGTGGATGTGGTAGTCACAAGTAGACCTGCTCTGCCTACGTCACCTCTATGCGTGCCGACCCCATATGCACCATCCATCATCCCTTTCACAATGAAATTATGAATATTGGCGTGCAACTCACTGCTCCGTGCCTCCGTCCCGTCGGCCGCAAAGCTCACACTCGGTTGCTATCCGCACACTTTAGGATGCACAGATACGTGACCAAATGGTCCTAAGGTTTTGTTGATTATTATGATAGGCAATATGATTTTAGGTGCGCTGGGTCAAGAAGAGATAGTGACACAGATGTTTAAAGTGGTTTAGACCCTTAATGTGAGGCAATACCCTAGTCCAATTGGCGTAGATTAGATCTGTATCGATGTGCGCAGCACGGTGTCAGAGTAGCATATGGCGCTTATGGAAGAATGATCAACCCCTATTAGGTTTTCCCATGCTCCTTATATAGGTGCAAGGGCAACTGGCTAGATATGGTAGGGTAGACCTTATAATCCGTGTACCTATCATCTATTTACATGGGATAGGATTGGCCACCTTATGCCTTATCTCTTTCTTAGTAAATTAGGCGCATGGACCTAGGGCACTTGGCCCACCTTATGCCGCACTGCCCATAAGCCTTGCCATGGGTATCCAGGTACCATGTACCCCACAGTAGCCCCCGAGTACTAAGCTCGATGAAGACTCAGAGGTTGGTAAAGCCATTAGTTAGAGACAAGACAAGCTGAATACTCATCCCCAATACTACTGAGTAGATCACCGAGTAAATTGCCTCATCTGAATAGATCGACAAGTAAAGCCGCCGTTTGAGCAATGATACCATCCGAGAGGCAGAACGGACTTTGTGTGAGAAATCTTTTGGACCGGGCCACACATCGCATCTTTGGTTATAAAATAGACCCAAGCGGGATCGCCGTTACACCTAAATCCTCAAATAAAATAGTATCATGCCTCTTCATCTTCTCTGTTGAGCCAAAACCACTCCCGCTAGGGTTTCGCGAGCCGAAGCCGAAAGGATCTCGCTCCCGCAGCTCCCAAATCTCGAATCCAGCCACTCCCAAAGCATCCCCTCCTCCACCATGTCTTAGACATCAACCAATTCGATCCCCATCCTGGACCAAGCTTCGCAGTGGACGAGATCGACCGTGATGTGACGGAGCCCGATCTGGAAGAAGCTATGGAAGACGACATTCTCCCCTCTCGAGAGGTCATCGGGTGGCAGCCCGTCGTCGGTGAGGAGTTCCCCATTCCCAATACTGGTGAGACTGTAGTCTTCCTCCCCTCTTTCTACTTCAGATTGGGGCTTCCAGCCCGCGACTTCCTTTGAGGACTCTTTTACTTTTATGGCATCAACATCTATCACCTCATCCCCAATTTGATCCTCCAAAAATCACTCTCTTCATCCACCTGTGCGAGGTACATTGCGGGATATATCCACACTTTGGCTTGGTTAGATACCTGTACTAGTTAAAGCCCTAGCCAGGCAAGAAAAATCCTTGGGTCATCGGCGGGAGCGGAATCTAGATCCGCCTAGAGAGAAAGGAGTTCTTCGACCTCCCATTGTGCTCCACTAACAAAGGATGGCGCGCCAAGTGGTTCTATAGTTCCAATATCATCCCCAATTTTTCCCCTTTCACACCCGAAATCCGAGATTGTTAGTACTCTCTCCCGGATCCCAGCGAGATGGGCCAGGTGAAGGGAACGCTGAGGAGGATCCAACAACTGTGCAATGCTGGCTTAATAGGGGTTGCCATAGCTTGTAACTTCGTAATGCAGAAGGTGCAACCCCTAAAGAGTCCAATCCACCCGACATGGGAGTACCGAGGATTGAATGATCCTACCCAGAATCTTCCAGGCCATTTGACAAGGATAAGGCCACCGGCCGGATTACGAGCTTCTTCGAGCCCGGGACGGCTATCAGCACGAAAGGGTGCCCAAAGCTGCTGTACTGCAAGTCGACCCTCCCAGGTAATCTTAATTGTGATTAGCGCCTTTCTTGAGTGCTCAAAACCTTGACTCTCGTTTTCTCTTGCAAGGAACCGAAAACTTCGTGTCAAATCCGCCACTACTGGAGATGCCGGCAAAGAGGAGCACAACCGATGCCCCATCAGTTGAGCGCCCTTTCAAGTGCCTAGCTGCAAAGTGGCCAGCCACGGGCAGGAGTACAATGCTCGACTCTAGAACCAAAGACCACCACAGCTGTGCCGGGGAAGGGGAAGCAAATTGTTGAATCTGCCAGCCCCGACTCTAGAGCCCAGAAGAAGGACATGACCTGTCCGAACACCTGGCAGCGGTATAGATGGCCAAAAGGCCCGAGGCCCGACGGCCCGGCCCACGGCACGGTGTTTTGGCCCGGCCCAAGCACGGCACGACCCGTCAGGGGTCGGGCCCGTGCCGGCCCAGCCCGACCACCGGGCCGTGCCTGGGCCTCTCCACCGGCACGTTGGGCCGGGCCGGCACGGCACGATGGGCCACAGGCCAAGTCCGACACATAAACAATAGGGAGTAAAAATAGACATATTATATGCCACGGTCGAAAGAATAGGGACGTAAAATAGACTTATTTTAGCTATATATATATATATGTCAGCTCAAAGAGGAGGGACGGAAAATAGACTTATTTTCACTATATATGTCACAGCCCAAAGAGGAGGGACGGAAAATAGATTTATTTTTGCTATATATGTCAGCGCAAAGAGAAGGGATGGAAAATAGACTTATTTAAAAAAAAGCACAATGGGCCACCCGCGCCTTCGGACCGTGCCTGGGCGGGAGGCGCAGCTCATGGGCCGGCACGGCCCTGCACGAAGTGCCGATCGGGCCGTGCTGGCCCGATGGCTAATGGGCCGTGCCTAGGCCGCGCCATGCCGGATGGGCCTTCTGGCCATCTATAGGCAGCGGTGGCGGCTGAGATGACTGCGGCAATGTCGCGATCGGCGATAGACGGGACAAAGTTGGTGGGATTGCCAGGTGCAGCTGCTCAAGGTCCGTTCGGTCCGCCGCTGACTAGCATCCCCAAGATCGGACCTCATCGATTTGCTCGGTGAGATTGGAGAACAAACGTCTTTCTTTGTCTTCTTAGGTAGACTCATCCATCAGCCTTTGACTGCGGCGGACAATGTGCGTTTCAGGGTCTCAACCCAAGTCGACCCGAATAAAACCGCTACTTCAGGAGAAGGATCCGGTGCGTCTGCCCAAATGACATCCGAAGCCACTGTTGGAGCTACGGCCGCTGCCATCGACCAGCTGGGTGAGGGCGGTGACGCTGCAGATGGCGCTCCAGGATCTTCCTCATTGGATGCTGGTGCAAAGTCATCCTCCTCGTTGGGTGCCGCTACCGATCAGTCGGGTGAGGACGGTGATACAACCGATGCTGCTCTGGGGTCTTCTTCACCGGGTACTGGCGCCAAGTCTTCTGCCATGTCGGGTGCTGCTGCCGACAAGCTAGGATAGGGCGGTGGCTTAGCCGCTAGTGCCGGCATGAAGTCCTCTGCCATGCCGGGTGCCACCATCGAGTCTTCATCTCGTCCGTGGGCCGCAAGCTCTTAGCCGCCTCCTACTCAGGGGAAGGGCAAAGAGGCTGCGGATAAGGACGACGTCACTGAGGAGATTGCTCAAGTCCGGTGAGCCCTTGCCTAGCTTGTCCACCTTCACAAATTATGAGCCACTGCCGACCGCACGGACGCCGAGGCGATGTACGAGACTAGTTTGACGCTGGTGCTGAAAATGCAGGTAAGTAACTATACCGTGTAGCTCCCCCCCCAACTCCATGGTGTGATGCGTGGATGTAGACATCGCGGTATGGAGTAGAAAAGCTGCTTCTCTTGTATGCCTGCGTGAGGCTAAGTAGCCCCCGACTTGATGTCAGGATTTGCTGGTAATCGTGGCGTGAAGTAGCCCTTGATGCGGGTTGTGTGTCGCAGAAAAACGTCAAACGGTCAAGGCGAAGAGCCAGGCCCTAAAGCTCATTTTCCACAATGTGGAGGGGGTGGAGAGTATCCGCCGGGCGGTCCAGCGGGCGGAGGACCAGCGCCAGAGGGAGGCGAAGGATACCCACTAGCGAGAGAGGCTACTCCGGGATCGCATTGAAGAACTACACGCTGAGCGTAAGTCCAAGTTGTTGTGATGTTGTATTTGCGCAATAATTCCCTTGTGACATCAGTGGAACATGAGCGCAAGAAGAGCCTGGCCAAGTCCGACAAGTGGGCAGAGAAGGTGAATGAGGCGGAAGAAACTGGCGGGAAGTCCCGGGTGGATGAGTTGGAGCAGCGTCCATAAGAGTCGGAGGCTGCTGCACGTGGTCTACTATAAATCATACTAGTAGCTAGCGCTGTCTATATATGGCTGGTGGTGTACGGCCTTGCAGTTGACGTGGGCAATGAAGGCAAGCGTATGCAATTGGCTGCTTGTATGAGGTAAAGTATGTCTTAGGTCCTGTTTTGTAGAACTTTGGATCCAAGATTTTAGAGCTGATATTTGTAGCTAATCAGGATTTACAATTACATTGATAACATATAAATGAATTATTTTGTTCCCATTTTAAATAAAATATAAACCTTTAAACCACTGTAATTTCACATCTATTATGCAATATTGTTTCCGAAATCTTTTGGATATGTATGTATAGAGGGTGCATTAGCATATAAGCTTAATTTATGAAAGATGTGATTGGAGAAAACGGTCTGAAGAAGAGAGATCGATGCTGATGTTGGGGCGCGCCAATGGCGCGCCGCCTGCGTGCAACTCGTTTTGAAGTTGAGTGAAAAATGTGACCAGCCAGTCAGAAGAAAATAAAACTAATCTGTTATGCTGGCAGCAAAATATAGATTGTTCCTTTATTAGATGTTGCTTATAAGCGATAGATATCACTGTACAAAAGTATCTTTACAGGACAATGAATAGATCAGGATGAGCAATACATGTCTTCATAACTGAAATGAAAATTGAGTAGTAACAAAATAAAATGTTCCTAACAACATAGTCACAATCAGAGTAAGGAATTCAGGATTGGTAAATGTTAGGGGTGGCTGCATTTATACTTTTACAATCAAATTCCATATGATCTTCATCTTTTGTCAAAATCCCCAACTTCCTGTAACATAATAAAGAACGACACTTCAGCAACAGGATAAATGGCATATTAGCAACTAACGGAAGCTACGCAAATTACACTTCATTATCCAATTAACCCATTTATTTATGGTATTCCAGTGCAGTGGTGTGCAAGGACATTTCAGGGAAAATGAACGACACCAAAATACACTGAATTTTGTTTCAAAATTTGGTGATAAAAGAGAAAAATGCATCCTATTTTGTTTCGAGATTTGGTGATAAAAGACTAAAAGAGAATGCAATATATGTTATAGGGACTTCAGTATCCATGAATCAGAGAAAAGCACAAAAAGAGATGAATGAAAAAGGTGAGTGAACCTTCAAAATTTAGCTAATTGCAATGATGATGCAAGCCACTGGTCAGTCTCCATGTACTTTCCTTTATAGCAAGTTAGGTTAACTTTGAAATATTTCTCCAGTTTTCACAAATAGCAGCAACACTTGTACTTTGACTGGAATCGAACCAAACAACTTCAGCCCATTCTCGAGCCATACAACTTGACAATTCAGTATTCTGCCATGGCAATTCTATAAGAGCATAATCTTTTCATGTTAAAACTCATTTTAGATCCTGAGATATAACTTGTTGATTGTCAGTGATGCATCTGGAGATGGTATAATTTAATGTTTGGAATATTTATCTGCACAAAGAGAGAGGGAGAGAGAGAGAGATCAAAGGCAAATAAGCAAAATACAGTTGTAGCATGAACTGAGATTCTGAGAACTACATGATCAGGATTTCCTTAAAAAAACTATATGATCAAAACATCAGAAAATCATTGTTAAGTATCAAGCATGGAAAGAAGAAAATATGTTCAAATAACTAAATGAAAAATGATGTAAATTTATCAAAACATCCGGTAGAAAATCCAGTGAGCATTATGCTGGGTAGTCCGTTCTCTAATTTGCACCCATTAATCATAGGATTGTCCCAACCCCAGAACTGCATTTGCTTCTAGTACCAGATATGATCAGATCATATATCGTATGCCAAGAATAAAAGTTTCTTACCTACAGAAGCAACCAGCTCGCCAATTGTCAAGTTTAGTGCAGAAAACAAATATGTGATAACAAGTACAAACCTTGAATACTGGAACCAAGAGGCCCTCCATCGGAGTATTCTTGAAACCACCTCCTGGACCTGCAAATTGATATCCTATAGGCACTGAAGACACAAAAGACCTATGATTGACTTCTATTTATGACTCACTAATCACATAAGAACAATAATCACTTGCCGTTGAATCTAGAGGTAAAACCAAGTATGGTTTTCAAAGCTTTTCTCGTTCTCTCTTTCTCCTATATTTTTAGATAACGGGTATTTTATTTGGCAATGATATTACATCCGGCCTCTGCACCTACGGGATGCACAAAGGAAAAAAGAGCTAAGACAACACGAGTTGTCTTGCGGCAGCTTACTATCCTAGATAATCCAGACCATGACTTGATGGCTATCAGACTATCAGACATTGTTCTCTATGTTGGTAATGCTAAAACCTTCATGTTTATATATAATCCTCCTTATTCAACATGCTGCCTTCAAAATATTAGCGGAAACAGGCAGCCCGATTTCATTCATAACTTTCATAACTTCTTTTTTGTCCAGATATTTTTTAAAGACTTTATTTTCGTCCGAATTTAGATCGTGATTGACTGATAACTTAATTTGACCTGACAACCATCTGCCGCGAGAAGAACACAGTCAACACAAACAGCCATTCATCCTTTAATCAATTCACCACTATAGCAGTGCTCTGGCCACCGATCTAAATATGTAATCAGAAGCCATAAAAGACAGACATGGCCAAACTGCAGAACTGCAGAAAGGACCCTCTTACTTACATGACGATGACGATGTCGTTGGCGAAGCACGCCCCACGGTGGTACGCCACGCTGTTCCCCGCGCCGTATGCACTCGCCTGTACCAACCAAAGCAACCAACAAGCATCAGCACACTGCGCAGATCGTCACAGATCTGGACCCCCAGGCCACGCCAGGATGCTCAGAGTCAATGGCATACCTCCTGCATATACTCTTGTTAGATTCTGCATATACATTTGTACTTTATCTTTCTATGCATTTAGTAATTAGAAATGCATCTTCAGGTAGTACAGCTATTATTTCATACACTTTTGTAGCATCGCAACGGGTTGTCTGAGTTCCTTAGCCAAATGCTCAGTTTTTTTAATGAGCGTTGTTACGGTACAGCGGTCGGTACCGGTACCGCCCGGTACCAAAATCCTGGCCGTTGGATCTGGCCTGATCCAACGGCTGGTAGAGTTTGGTACCGGGCGGTACCAATTCTGTCCCTGTGCAGTACCACGCGGAGAACTGAGGTGGAAGGGCAAAAACGTAACTTCGCGTGTAATAACTGGATCGGGAGGGATGGACGGGCAGCTTGAACCCTAGAAGCGCTAGGATTCTCGATCGATCGACACCACCGCCGCCTCCTGGATCGACGCCGCCGACTCTTGGAGGTGAACTCAGCCATCGCCGCCGCCGTCGCCGGGAATGACGACATCGACGCCGCCGCCTCCGGGAAGGACGACATCGACGCCGCCACCGCCGCCGGGAACGACGAGTTCGCTGCTGCCGTCGCCTGCTTCAACGTCGCCGCCGCTACCGCCGCGGGGAAGGACGACATCGACGCCGCTGCCGCCGGGAAGGATGACATCGACGCCGCCGCCACCGGGAACGACAAGTTTGCTACCGCCGCCGCTTGTTTCAACGCCGCTGCCGCTGGGAAGGACGAGTTCGATGCCGCCACCGCGGCCTGCTTCAACGCATGCCGGAATCCGCCGCTCGCCGCCACTTGATTGTTCAACGCATCGCCGGCGCCACTCTCTTCCGATCCTACCCATGCCGGAACGAACGGCAGATGCGTACTGGTACCGAGCGGTACCAGTACCGAGCGGTACAATTTGCTGGACCATAAAAAATCTCTTTTTTAATACATATTCTAGCTCATAAATTAGAAATGGCATATTGCACGTAACCTTGTACATGGACTTCTTGGTAATTAATTGGCATGTTTATTAATAACAGATAACATCACAAGAAATGAAATTGGCATAATGCTAGGTAAATAATATATAGGAAAAAAAGACCTAGACAGTGCCTATCCATCTAAAATATGTCAATAAGCATTTGAATATTGAGCTATTCATTGCTACCTTCATAAAACATACCTGAAAAATTTGTTTATTACAAACCATGAAATACACATTTAGCTCCAATCATTTGCATCAGCCCCAGTAAGGAGACGAGAAGGAGGCAGAGCCTCAGCCCCAGTAAGAACTTCCCTTCATCTGAGTATTCTGAATGCCCATAGGAAATCATCAAATGTTACAGTACCAGGAAAAAGCTCCTTATTTGTGCTTATGATCTCAGCTTGCACATTATCAAAATCGTTGTGCACAACCTCTTTTACACCCCTTGTTGTGCTCAATAACTGTGTCCATTCAAGAAACAAAAGCATACAAATTTCAATAAAGGTACTAAGTACTAACAACCAGCGTTCACAGAATAAAAGCGTTTTGTGAAGAAATTCATTGATTTTTTCGCACATTGTATCTCCAAGACCTGCACACGATCTTGTAAAAAAGAAGACCTGCACTTGAGGGGGCATGAAGCAACCACTGAAAAGCTTCAGTAAAGCCATGTGACAGCCCGTTTGGTTGGAGGGAGTTTTTAGGAGGGATTGGGAGTTTAGAAGGATGAGGCTATTAAGAGTTTTGTTTGGTTGGGAGACATGGGAATTTTGGTGGGATGAGGATAGGGAATTGAGAAAGGAACTCCCTCCTTTTCAATACCTAGGTAGGGGCAGGTAATTGGGAGGGAATTCCTCCTTTACTTTGTTTAAGCAAATCTCAGCCATCCGTTTTTATTAATGACCTAATCTCCAACTAAATTCCCTATCAATTTCCATTACCTCTACCAAACAAGATATTAGGATTAAAAATTAAAGAGTAAAATACACCAGCGGTCCTTAAACTTGTCAGCAGGTTTCACTTAGGTCCACGAACTTGTAAAGCGCACATCATGGTCCCTAAACTTGGTTTATTGTATCATCCCGGTCCAAAGCCGTGTTTGACCGTGGTCTTGCCTACGTGGCACGTCACGTGGACGATGACATGTATTTTTTTTTATATTTTTTCTCCCTTATTCTTTCTCTTTTCTCTTTTATGAAAAGACGATGACATGGACGATGACGTGCATGAGGCATTTTCATCTTTTCGACAAGGAAGAAAGAGAAAAAAAGAAAGAAGAAGGGAGAAAAAATAAAAAAAAATCCATGTCATCGTCCACTTGGCGTGCCACGTAGGCAAGACCACGGTTAAACGCGGCTTTGGACCGGGATGATACAATAAACCAAGTTTAGGGACCTTAATGTGCACTTTGCAAGTTCGTGGACCTAAGTGAAACCTGCTGACAAGTTTAAGGACCGCTGGTGTATTTTACTCAAAATTAAATTCCTATCTTAATCTCATCATCAATTCCATCGTTGAGAATTTCATCGAACACATGCAGACCAATGAGCTATCAGCATCAACCCACTCAGCAGAACATGGTGGAGTCGGTCAGGAACAGGAGGATGCCGGGGTAGGTGCCCACGGCAAGTCAGCGTCTCTGGCAGCCTAACAGAGAAGGAGCAGCGCGACGACGGCCCAATGCCGGAGCACCTCGTCGTCGATGGCTTGGCCATGACCACGTTGGCGTCCATCCAGAGCTTCTTAATAGATACCAAGCAGTTTGCAGTACACACCGAACTAAGTTAACAAAAATACTATCACAATCTCACCAATACGACATCAAAGCACCAAATCAACTTATCTCAAGTCCAAGAAAATGGGATGTAGATCACCTGAGTCAAGAGCTATTAGGGCATTTTTACCAAATGATATGCGTGCAATGCAAATTTGTCAGATCAACCTGGCAGTTCGGCCGGAACATCCTTGATTCCTCGACGGCGGCAGCAGCAGCAGAAATTTTTCACCATCGCGAGGAGGCGACGGCGCTCGGTGGGGAGGGACGAAGTCAGCGTCGGCTGCAGCCACCGCAGGTGCTCGAACAGCAGCGCATCCACGGCGACCGCCACCGCGCCGACGCGGGTCCGCCGCCCAGCCGCCGCGAGCAGGTGCCGCACCGGCCCAGCCTCGAGAACGGCTGGGTCGACAGGGAACAATCACCTCTCCCCCTTCGTCGTCCCCACTTCCACCCTGATCACATCCGCCGCCTCGGAGGCGGAGGCGGAGGCGGAGGAGTCGAGGCGCTAGTGCCCGCCGCGGCGGGATGCGGAGCGGAGGAAGTGTAGCAGGCTAGCAGCCTGTGGAGGATGGACGCGGCGACGGGGCCTCCTCCTCCTCGCCGTCGCCGGGTGAGGCGTCGTGGCTCCCGATGCCAGGATCTGGGCCATCAGCTCTTTGCGCCGCCTGTGGCGTGGTCGTCGGAGCTCCGACTGTTTGGATACGCGTAACCTAGCATAAATCAAAATTTTCTATCGTGTAAACCAGAAACCATGCAAGTATTAAATCATAGATAGGAACCATGCAAGTATTAAATCATAGATCGGTACCACTCGACGCGCTGTGTAGCGGAAGAAGACGCTGAGAAGTCGAAGGAACTCTCGCGAAGTAGCGCGCGTCGATGTAGAGGAAGTAGCCGATCGCACCGGCTCGACCTTCTCCTACTCGTGCGTTCTCCTCGCCGTACTTCCACGCTGATCAGCACCGCAAACCAGCGGCGCCTCTACCGGCATCCACACGTACAGGGACGGAACGCCACGCGCAGATGTGCTAACACCCGCGCACGGCTAGGGTTTTGCTCGAGGAGGGAAGTGATGGCTGGGGTTTCTCACGTGATGCAATGCCTCCGCCGGTCACACCCCTCACGAATATATAGGATCCATCACTTGGGCCTCCAAGGCCCGTAGGACTCCTATTCAGATCCCTATCCGAATTAAGTTCATATTGGATCTTCATCTAATCTCCTTATTCAGGTCCATTAAGCGTGTGACCCTGTAGGTTCATGTATACTCGGCTGTAACCCGAAAATTCCTTTTCGGTCCACGCGTCAACAGCGGCCCCTAGCAGAACGTATCGACCCACCGGGCATACATAAAGATCATATCAGCTGAACCTCTAGTGTATACTTGTATGAACCCCTTTGCCTCACGATATCGATTAAGCTCAAGGCTAGATATGTGCCATCCTCTAATAGCTCAATCATTCACTCGAACCTGTTGATAGATTATATAACTTGTGATTGACTCCTCAATCACCTTTGGCATGGCCATGCACTTCCATAATCTACAACATCGAGGGGCCCAGAGATATCTCTCCATAGGAGGGGCAAATCCCATCTTGATTATTCATATCCCACTACATGTTTCATAGCATACCCGAAAATTACTTTTATAACTACCCAATTACGGAGTAGCGTTTAGCAGTCCCTAAGTAAGCTACTACACATGTTGGGAACCATGATAATCTCAGGTCTGAGGATTCAACACCAACATTAAATGAGATCACTGATGACACAACACACATGGCTCTTGCAGTGTCTCATGTTGGGTCTATCCAACAACATGTTCACTAACATATGACCACATTATTAATTTGGTATCTCTATACCATGATCCATGAGACATGATCATCAATTAATACATGTGCTGATCATCTAAACATATTTGTTGCACATATGATATTTGATTAGGGATCCTTTAGAAATAGCAACACATAACATAAAGAGTCTCATGAAAGAATCACATATTCGTTAACCAATAATGAGTTATCTATTTTAATGAACAATATCGGATAAATATGTAAACATAGTATGTGATACAATCATCTCTATGATTGCCTCTAGGGCATATCACTAACAGTCTCCCACTTGCACAAGAGTCAATCATGAATGTATCTTATTCCCATTGCCCTAGTGTGTGCCTCATGCTTTGGCTGAGGTAGTGGCTTTGTCAACTGATCTGCGACATTCAAATCCGTATGTATTTTGCATATCTTCACATCTCCTCTACCTACTATCTCACGAATGAGGTGATACCGTTGTAAAATGTGTTTGGACTTTTGATGCGATCTAGGCTCCTTGGTTTGCACAATGGCACCACTATTATCGCAATAGAGGTCCATAGGGCCAGAAGCACTAGTCATCACACCTAGTTGAGAAACAAATTTCTTTATCCAAACAGCCTCCTTTGCTGCTTCAGAAGCGACAATGTATTCGGCTTCTCTTGTAGAATCAGCCACTGTATCTTGCTTAGAACTCTTCCAACTCATAGCGCCTCCATTCAGGCAGAACACAAATCCAGACTGCGATCTAAAATCATCTTTGTCGGTTTAGAAGCTTGCGTCAGTGTAACCATTTACAACGAGCTCTTCCTCTCCTCCATAGACTAGGAACGTATCATTAGTTCTTCTCAAGTATTTCAGGATATTCTTTACAGCTATCCAGTGACTTTCACCTGGATCTGATTGGTATCGGCTTGTTGCACTAAGTGCATATGAAACATCTGGACGTGTACATAACATAGCATACATGATGGATCCGATTGCCAAGGCATATGGAATCACACTCATCTTGTTTCGCTCATCAGTCATTTGAGGACACTAATATTTGCCAAGATTAATGTCATGTGACATCGGTAAGAAACCTTTCTTAGAATCTTGCATGTTGAACCTCTTCAACACCTTGTCAATGTATGTACTCTAGCTTAATCCAATTAGCCTCTTTGATCTATCTCGATAGATCCTTATGCCCAGAATATATGCTGCTTCTCCTAAGTCCTTCATTGAGAAACTATTTTTCAACGATGTCTTAACGGATTCAAGCATAGGAATATCGTTCCCAATCAATAATATGTTATCTACATATAGGATTAGAAACACCAGTGCGCTCCCACTAATCTTCTTGTATACACAAGGCTCTTCTTCGTTTTGGACAAAGCCCAACGCCTTGACTACTTTGTCAAAACGAATATTCCAACTCCGAGATACTTGCTTCAACCCATAAATGGATTTATGCAATTTGCATATCTTTTTAAGCTGATTGTGGATCAACAAAACCTTTGGGTTGTGTCATGTACACATCCTCATCGAGATTTCCATTGAGGAAAGCTGTTTTGACATCCATTTGCTATATCTCATAGTCGAAATAGGCAGCAATCGCTAAAACAATCCGAATAGATTTTAGCATGACGACTGGCGAAAAAGTTTCATCATAATCAACACCTTGAATTTGTCTGAAACCTTTCACCACCAATCGTGTCTTGTAAATGTGAACATTTCCATCTACATCTGTCTTTTTCTTAAAGACCCATTTGCACTCAATGGCTTTTACACCATCAGGTGGATTAACCAAGTTCCAAACTTGATTGACATGCATGGATTCTATTTCGGATTTCATGGCTTCAAGCCATTTCTCAGAGTCTGGTCCCACCATTGCTTCGTCATAGGTAGTAGGTTCAACTTTGTCTAACAACAATATATCACGTTGTCCTGTAGTTAACAACACATACCTCGCAGGTGTACGCCGTATCCTTTCGGACCTTCGTGAAGCCAGTGCTTCCACAACTAGTTCAACAACAACTTGTTCAACCTATTGAACAACATCTTGCTCAGCTTGTTGTGGTTGTGTGGACGTTGAAGCATTTTCCGGTGTTTCCTGAATTTCTTCAAGTCGCACCATGCTCCCACTATCCTTTCTTGAAATAAACTCTTTTTCCAAGAAAACACCGTGTCAGGCGACAAACACTTTGCCCTCTTCCCGATTATAAAAATA